GCTGAGGCACCCGTCCGCCCCCGGGCCCCGGCCGCTGGGGGACCATGGAGTTTGCGGAGCTGATCAAGACGCCTCGGGTGGACAGTGTGGTGCTGCACCGGCCTTTCTACCCAGCCGTCGAGGGGACCCTGTGCCTGACTGGCCACCACCTGATCCTGTCCTCACGCCAGGACAGCACGGAGGAGCTGTGGCTTCTCCATTCAAACATCGACGCCATCGATAAGCGGTGAGTGGCCGTCGCGCCCCTGTGCCGCTGGGAGCCGGGGTCCTGCGGTGGGCGCCCGAAGAAAAGCTTCCTGGTATTTTCCGAGTGACCCTTTACCCAGCCGGGCCGCAGAGTGGCTCAAATCCTAAATTAAGAATTGTTTTAGAGAACGAAAAGATGACCAGATGGGATGCTTGGATTCTGTTAAATCTGGGTGGAGTTCTAAGTTATCACTTGTATCGCCCTGTGTGTCGATTTGGGAGCGTGACACCTTTACCCAAAGTAAAATTTCATCTCCTTTTTCTGTCTTATTCCTTGAATCATTCTTGATTGTCAACCACAGTTCATGAAGTCGCAATTGGATAAGATTCAGATAGTCTTTACCACTTTGGAGGAAAATTCAAGGAACTGAGTATGTAATTTTTAGTGTCTACATGCCACAAAATCATTTTATTTCCGCCTCCAAAATGTTCAATTTAAGCTGGGTGTGGTGCTGCACAGCTATAATCCCAGCACTCAGAGAAGCTGTGGCAGGAGGATCATGAGTTTAGAGCTCAGACTTGGAATGTAATGAGATTTTGTCTCAAAGCAAACAGTAAAAAAGGTCTGGGGATGTGGCTCAGGGTGAGGCCCTGGGTTCAGTCCCCAGTACTGGGCGTGGGGGTCCATTTATCCTGTTTCTTCCTATTTCTTACCTCGGGGCCATCATTTTAATACTCCCAGTAAGGGAATTTTCATGCTTCTTATTCATCTTTGCTCAGTTTTGCTTTTGGAAAGAACAGAGTCAGCTCCTAAGGAACTAATCTACCTGTTAAAAGCATGTCATACTTTTCATCTTTGCAAAATCAGCATCTTCTCAAATTCAAAGAGCTGTCCTTCCACCTGCACTTAAACTTCCCATCGCCTCAATGTCCCTGGGCACTCTAGCTGGGGAAGGAAAATTACTCATCTGGTTTATAGGAATGACTGCACTTTTTTCCACTGCCACACAGGATATTAAGTGATTCCTACAGAGTATATACCTTCAAATCATCCGTAATGGTAGAATTTTCAGCAATTTGGTTGAAGCAGTGGTAGATTGCATTCATTCAAGCAGAGGGCACTTACTAGATTCCCCCAATCATCTCTGATGCAAAGGGTTTCAGTGGTCTCGTTGCCTGTGTGATACAGCTCCTTAGCCTGTCGTTCCCCGTGCTCCATATTTTGACCCTAGCCTATTTCCCTCCATTTTTATTTTTTATTGTGGTATGGAATTGAACCTGGTGCCTTTACACTGAGACACCAAGCTGCATGCCAGCCCCCTCCCCTTTTTTGTTGAGAGAGGGTCTTGCTATGTCACTAAGGTGGCCAGGTTGGACCCTAACTTGTGATCTTCCTGCCTCAGCCTCCCAGAGTGTTGGGATTGCAAGGCGTGTGCTGCTGCACCCAGCGTTGTCTCTTGCCATTCCTGTTCACGAACCTTTCCTCCATTTCCTTTCAGGAAGGATCCTTTCAGGGTTTTTACTTGCTAATTGTCACTATTGTTGCTCATAAAAACCCTGTATTCTGTCGTCTTTGTACTTTATTGACATCTTCCTTCTACAGGAATGCCTTGCTCCTCCCGTTTGTTAAACATTCATCAAATGCCTTTATGTTCCAGACATTTTGTCAGGCATTAAAGACACAGGATGAATAAAATGTAGTTCTTGTTTTTCAGGAGGTCATAGGCTATCATGTTTGTTGCTTATTTATTAGTATTCAGTTTAACCAGTTCAGCGGCCACGTCTTTCACAGACTTTTTTTGTCAATCATATACCTAGAAGTAGTTCCTTTCACCTTGAAATCTTATAAATATTTAATTGTACTTCTTTCATAAGTGTGTTTTCAAATTTTCATTTCGATAGTGACATACATATTAGCTTTTTGAAGCCAGAACTTACATCCAATTTTTTTATCCTCTTCAAAGTTTCTCTGTGGCTTGGACTTATAAGGGATGAGGAAATAGAGAAAGATGGGCCCCTGAATGGGTCTTGGTCCCAGAGCATACTCATTCGGTCTGTCTGTGACTGGCCTCTTTTCCAGTTAACTTTCTTTTAGGGTTACTCTCCATTCATTCATCTTTCTCATATTTATTTAGCATTTACTAGGTGCTGGGCTTCATTAGGGCATAAAGAAGGCCTGTAAGATGGGGCATTTTAGTCTGTTATGGGGGAAGTGACAAGCTGTAGACATGGATGCTTTTCCTGGGAAGCAGTATGGTATGTTGGGAAGAGCATGATGTGGTCAGGTCAGTTTAATTGTTGCTCTCGAGAAATATTTATTTCTCTGTGCTCCTCTGAGCACTCCCTGGACTCTGCAGGTGGAAAGGTGACTACAGCAGACATGTGCCTGTGTACTCAGAGAGGAGATGGACAAAATAAATCAATCAAGTGATAAGGAATAGCAGCGTCAAGTAGTAAGTGACAGAGAAGGAAATAAAGGGAAAGATTGGAGAGTGCCAAGAAACAGTGTCTTTAGAAAGTATTTCATAGATGGCAAATGACACTGGACTAAGGACCTGAAGGGAGGGAGGGGGCCAGCAGTGTATCTGGGGAGAAGACATTTCAGCCAGAGGGAACAGTGCATACAAAGAGCCTGAGTCAGGAGCATGCTTGATGTCTCCAACCGAGAGTGTAGCCAGCGTTCCCGTATGTTGTTGATGCCCACAACATAGAGGAGGAAGTGCTTAATTTGGCTCACAGTTTCAGGAGATTCGATTCATGCTTGGCTGGCTCCAAGGCAGGAACATCATGGCAGAATTACATGGCAGAGCAAAGCTGCTGACTGTGGTGGGCAGGAAGTAGAGCAGGAAACTGCTGAGGGATGGGTGAGGGATCAGGTATAGCACTCAAGACCATGTCTCTGCGACCTCCCCAGACACACCCAGAAGTGTGCTCCATGAAGCCCATGGTGGAGCCTAACCAATCAAATTGACTTAATAAAGCTTAACTGTTGCATCCTACCCCTTGTCAGCTTGGCACCCAAACATATCCCCTTAAACCGTACTTAATCTCTGAATAAAAAGTCATAATTCCACTTAATATAATACCGCTATCATATGTGAAACCAAAGACATCCCTTCCCCAGAGTGTCAACACTTTCAGCATTTTTCAGGAGACTAAGTCTTCTGAGACTATAAGCAGATTCTTAGCTGTGAACCTCTGTAAAAATAAATTACATATTCCCAACATAACAATGACACAGAGTAAAGATTTCTGTTCTACAAGGGAGGAAGAGGTGGATAGCAAAAATGAGGCCAAGACTGAAAGCCAGCAGGGTAGTCATTAAGTCCTATAGCTCCATATTCAGTATCTGGGGCGTAGGGTGGTAAAATGTAAGTTCCAAAGGGTTTGGGCAGCCCCACTCTTATGATATTGGTGGCTGCAGCCTACTCAGCCTTTCTCTTGGGCTGTCTGTGCTCAGTGCTTGCAGCTTTTCTTGGCAAGTGTTCCATGTTCCTGGCGTCTCTGACTTCCTGGGATCTCCACTGCACCTTTGACTTCATCCCCACAGCTTCATGCATTGCCCTCTCAGGGCCTCCCAGACCTTCCTTTGACATCTGGGTAGAGACCTCTCTGATGCCATAACTCTCAAATTCTGCATTCTGGTAAAACCAGCATCACATGAAAGAGCCAGAGTCTTCCACCAGCACAGGCAGTAGCCAGCCCCCCTTGGACCATGGCAGCAGTCATATCTTGAGTGCCTAGATGTGCTAGCACAATGAAATGAATCCTTGGGAACCAGTTTCCTAGGCAGCTTTTCTTGGGTAGGAGGTCTAGGGGCTCTCTTCTCAAATGAAATGTTTTCACTTTTGCATGTCTGAGACTACAGTGGGTAGGGACTTGCTTATTCCTGAGATGCCCTCAAACATCTTTTTTTTAATGTCCCTGTACAAAGTACTACAAAATACTTCGTTCCTTTTTTGTGGGGGGGTAGTGGGGATCAAACTTGGGTCCTTGTGCTTGTGAGGAGGCTACTTGGTTCCTTTTTAATAGCACTACTCTCTTCACCAGCCACATATCCTTTGGCCCTCACTTTCCTTCTGGGCCAAAATTTGTTTTTCAAATTTTTCTCCTCTGGTTTTTGCACCTGATTCTCACTATAAACATGACTAAAAGCAGCCAGGAGAACCCACACCAAAGCCTGATTGTTGGACTGCATAGAAATTCCCTCTGCTCGTAGTCCATTGCCCTTAATCTTAGTCTCCCAGAAAGTCGCAAAAGATGGGCAAATACAGACTTTTTTTTTCCAGCGTGTAACACAAATGTCCTCTAGTCCAATTGCCAGTTGTTCCTTGAAGCCTCCTGAAGGTGGCTTTCTGTTCTCATAGTGTCAGCATTCTGCTCTTCTGTGTGCGTCAGAATTACCCAGTAACCTCTGCTCACAGCATTTAAAGCTCCTCTGTCCTCCATCTCCAGTCCTTCTCAGGCTCCTCCTGCAAATCAGCCCCAAGGCGTATAAGCCACGTGGTCAGGTACAGTCACAGGTACAGCAGTGGCCCCAGTCCTCTGGTACCAATTTTTCTGTATTAGTCACTTTCCTGTGGCTAAGACACAATACCTGACACGCACAATTTAAAGGAGGAGAGGTTTAATTTGCCTTATGGTTTTTGGGAGATTCGGTCCTTGCGTGTCTGCTCCAAGGCAGGAACATCATGGTAGAATAGTGAAGTAAATCTTATTTCATGGCGGCCAGGGAGCAGCGCTACAGCAGGGGACCAGGAATACAGTTCCAAGGTCACATCTCCACGAGCCACCAGACACACCCTGAGCGGCTCCCAAGCCAATCAGATTAACACAATCAAGCTCACGCCTCACAGAGTGAAAACACAGGTGTGGTCGAAGTGCGGGGCACGGGCTGCAGTGATGGTCGGGGTGTGGTTGGAAAGATAAGCAGGGGCCAGATATGAAGGATCTTGTAGACTGTAGTGGCTTTCACGGGGGTTCTTGGAGAGCTGAAAGCAAGGAAATAGCAACTAGTAGACTGTTTAGCCGATAACTCTG